TCTGGTCATTAGGCTTGGTGGCAGGTGTCTTTATACAGAATCATCTCACAGGCCTTAGATGAGTTTTGAGGGGGAAAAAAAATGGATGAACCTAAAGTTATTTATATAATCATATAAAATTTAAAAACATGTTTTCAAAATGCTTTGTGAAATACTTTGATTAGTTACTAAAGTAAATGAGAACTAGAAGGTTCACAGAATGGTGTCTTTAAAAGTCTCTAGTATATTTAGCATGTTTTATTTATATTTATTTTAAAATTTCTTTTATTTTTGAAAGGAGACAGTTTTAGTGGTGCAACACAAAAGTGTAAACTTAATGCTTCCATGAACATCTGTCTGTTGGAAACTATCTGGGTGCTCAACTCTAGGCTAGAAAACAGGCCACAGGGAATTGAAACTTGTAAGTCAGCTTGTACAAGGTGTCCTTGGCCCTCTCCTAAGACTGTGAATAGGACATGCTGTGGTGCAAAACAGCTATGGTGAACAAAGGTTGTGGTTGGGCTGAAGGTGGGAAGGCATCAGTAAGGAGTAGTAACTCTTAGAGTTGCCCCAGAGAGGATCATAGTGAGTGAGGAGCATATTGTGATCTACAGGTTTTTTTTTTAAATGTAGATTGTATGTAAGTTCTTAACCCTTTAAAAATATTTTTTCCATTCTTACTCTGTAGACAAGACTGTTGGAGCTCATTGTGTAAACGTAGTGAGGCTTCACATTCATATAATCCTTTTGATGAAATCTCCCAAATGCTGAGATTATGAGCTACTGTGCCTGGCTTCTTAGCTTTTTAAAACTTGAAAACACTACAACCACCCACTTAGTTATGTATTTGTTAATAAAATAGTAGTAACTGGGGCTAGAGAAATAGTAGTAACTGGTTGCTTTTTTAGAGGGACCAAGGTTCAATCTCCAGGAGCTCACAGCCATCTGTAGCTCCAATGGCAGGGGATCAGATGACCTTTTCTGTCTTCTCAGGTGCCAGGCAAGCATGTGTACAGACATACATGCAGACAAAACACTCACACATAAAACAATATTTAAAAAATGGTAGTAATAACATCTTGAAATTTTGTTTTTACATATATGTGGTGTACATGTGTATAATATGCATGTTTGCATGTATGTGGGTACTTGTATGCAGGCACACATGGTGACAAGAGGTTGATGTTGATATTAGATGTCTTCTCCATACTATATATTGCTCTCCATACTATATATTGAGGCAGGGTCTCTCACTTGAATCTAGAGCTCACTGATTTGACTAATGTAGTTAGCTAGCTTGCTCCAGGGATCCCTGTCTATACTTCCCTAGAGCTGGGATTACAGGGAGGCTACCATGCATGCCTGCATTTTTGTGAGTACTGAAAATCTAAAGTCAGTCCATATGCTGTGGCAAGTACATTGCCCACTGAGCCCCACCCCTAAAAATTTCATTCATTTGTGTGTGTGTGTGTGTGTGTGTGTGTGTGTGTGTGTGTGAATTATTTATTTATTTCATTTCTCAAGACAGGGTTTCTCTGTGTAGCCTTGGCTGTCTTGGAACTCTGTAGATCCTCCTGACTCTGCCATGAGTGCTGGGATTAAAATCGGCGCACCACTCCCACCCCTCCTCCAGCTAAAATCTCTATCTTTTAAATGAAAACTTGTGGGGCCATAGAGATAACTCAGTGGTTAAGAATGCTTTGCAGAGGATTAGAGTTAAGTTTCCAGAAGCCAGGTCCAACAGCTCAGAACCACCCATAACTGGAACTCCAGGGTATAGATGCCTTTTCTGGACTCTGAATAGCACCTGCACTTGCATGCACGTGTCCCTCCCCCCATGTATGTATGTATGTATGTATGTATGTATGTATGTATGTATGTATGTATAATTAAACTTAAGTCTTAAAAGTAGCTTCTGTCCCTTCATATTAATAAATGTAAAAGCACATCTTAATCTTTATTGTTCAAAGAATGGAAGAAATTTGAATTATTTTAGAAGTGCTTATTCATTCTTGGAACTATAGAAATGTAGAATCTTTAAAATTGTGTATATTAGATACAGAAATGCTATTTATGCCTTCTTGTCTTAATTTATTAATAGCTGCTCTAAGTACTTACAATATTTTGCATGTATTTAAGATTTAGTTTGTCCTTTACTTTTTGTTTTCAGATCTTTTGCAGCTTTACACATCAAGGACTGATCTATAGTCTGACTTTATTTCTGTAGATTCCAAACAGTTGTGGTTTAAATGAAATAGTTAGAAGATATCTGAGTCAGTGCTCAGATAGCTCCTCTGGCATAATGCTTTTTGACCTCTTCACATTTCAGCTGGCAATAGCTGCCCTTTCAGTAAGCCATTGTGCATATGAGTAAAAAAGCTAAAGTCTACATGTACATACACATACACACTTGAGTCTCTGTATGTTTATATAAATAAATACATAGATAAAATTCTTAAAGGAGCTGGGCAATGGTGGTGCATGCCTTTAGTCCCAGCACTCGGGAGGAAGAGGCAGGCGGATCTCTGTGAGTTTGAGAACAGCCTGGCCTACAAGAGCTAGTTCCAGGACAGCCTCTAAAACCACAGAGAAACCCTGTCTCAGGAAAAATAAAAATTCTTAAAAGGGGTGTGGATTAAGTTCTGGATGTTTTTATTTGGGAGATGGGCTTTCTTGTATCCCATGTTTCTTGTATTCAAATTCAATATATGATATAGAGCTGCGGATCCTTGGCATTTCTGGTGCTCCTGCCTCCATCTCCCTGGTGCTGCGATTACAGGTGTGCATTACTGTATCTAGTAAACAGGAGCCCTCTGCACACTGGACAAAGCACTAAACTGAACTACATTTCCAGCTTCATGAATTAAGTTCTACTTTTATTCCTTGTTTTTTTTTTTTTTTTTTTTCTTTAAGATTAGAGAAATTCACTGGTAGAAATGGAACTCTCTAAGAATAGCTAGCCTTTTCTGTCATGCTTTACAATCATGCTTGTGTCCAAAAACAATAGTAGTCAGTTGTGTGTTTTAAAGGTAGAAGTGTGGAATCTTAAGCTGACCTTGCCATTAAATGATCTTCAGGTTTGGTTTATTCTGTCTTCAACACGAAACATTTGCCATTAACTGATCAAGAGGTTGATTTGGTTTTTTGTTTTGTTTTCTTGCAAGAAAGTTTTTACTTCCGTGCCTTAACTCACTGAGTGTAAAATGTGTGCGTGCATGCGTGTGTTGCTATGTGGTGACCCTAGAACCTCTAGCATGCATGGCAGACTTTCTACCAGTGAGTGAAGGCCACAGCTGTGGTGTTATTTTATGACTAAGTGGGGGGTAGCACTCGCTTTGTGGTTTCTTCTCTATTCATTCCTCTTTATGGTTTTGTTTTTAAATAAGATGTAGTCTCATAAAGGACAACCTTGAAGTTCTATGTCTTTTAATCCTGTGAAACTGCCTTTTAGTAGCTTGTTTGCAATCTACATTCAAAAGATAAATTTTAGTAATCTCAACCAAACCGTCCACAGGAAATGGAGAGGAATGGAGGGGGGGGGAGAGAGAGAGAGAAAGAGGGAGGAGAGAGAGAGAGTGTGTAACTGGCTTTTGCTCTGTAATCCAGTCTGGCCTCAGATTCCTAATCTTCCAGTTTTAGCCACTCAGGTGTTAAGGATTTCAGGCATTTACCACTACATCTGGCTGAAAGGCACCTTTGGATGGTTTGAGTGTTGTCTTCAGCATGTAAACTAGACCTATCTCTAAAGAACCTTAGATATCTTATCCCCCTCCCATGTATGTATGTATAATCCATCCATCCCCAAAACACTGCCATGTATCTGTAGTTCTTCTAAATCCAGCGTGTACCCAATAGTCCTCAAATAGTTTTAGTTTATTGCTAAGAGAAGGGTGATTGGTCACCTATGTATTAACCCTGCACAGATCAACTAACCATTGGTTATTTGTTTACTTGTTTTACTTATTTATGCTGTTTGTAGGCTTCATTAGAAATAATTGGGTACATATGAACATACTCACTGTGCAGTTTTCTAAGAAAGAAGAAACCTTAGTCTAAGTCCTTGACATCCTAACTTTATATCATGTAGCTGTATTTTTTTCCACAAAGGGTTTATTAATGCCTTTTTCTTTTTGTTGTTATTAGTGAGTAGTTTCACAACCAAGAAGGTAGTCTCTTTAGACATTGTAGACCCCAAAGCCTTAGCTAACTTTTGCATTATCCTTAATGATAAAGTATAAGTAACCAAATAAAGATGCTCTGAGCATTAGTAGTCATTTGTTCCCTTAAAGTTCCTTTCTTTATCATTGAATACTTAAGAATCACAAAACAAAACTATTACAGTGAAAGCCTGTCCTCATCACTTGGTTTAAAAATACGATGTATCCAGGTGGGTATGGTTTCACATGCTGTAGTCCCAGCACTCAGGAGGTGGAGGCCAATCTGGGCTGCTTGAGATCTTGACTTGATGTTCTAGTTCAGAGAACTGGCCTCTTTGTTCTAGTCTTGTAGTTTTTTAGTTTTATTCTACACACTGGTATACTAACAAGACTCCAACACATGGCATTCATTTGGTCTTATGTTCAGAGAACTTCTCATATCATTTGCTAAAATCATACCCAACAGATATACCAGCTTTTTTACAGATTCTTAGAATACATAGTGTTTTCATAATATCTGAGTTATGTCTCATTATAGTTATTATGTATATGCCTGTCCCTTCTAGTGTGCTGTGAAGTTTTAAACATTAGCAATCAATAAGTTTTGTAGATTTTCTTACAGGTATATCAGTCATTCTGTCTTACTTTATGATCATTAACCTGTCCTATATCTAAGTACTTTATAAGCATGAGCTATTTATGGCATGTGGGCCTCTCAAGAGAACTCTGATGTTTGTTATTCATGGATAGAGCCAGTTATATTGTGTGCTTGTAAATTTTCTTTCACATTCTTTTGTTTTGTAATTTCATGCACATGATTTAAATTCACAAAGTAATGATTTTTTTTTTTGTCTTTCCTTTTAGATATTGCTATATGGAGAATTGCCAAAAAATAAAGAAAATGTAATATATTTAGCAAATCATCAAAGCACAGGTATGTATTTCATTTGCATGAAATTTGGGTTTTTAGATAGATGGTAAATGAACGCTAAAATATACATGCATACCTATGTTTTAGAGATGGGATCTCATGTAACCCAGAATTGGCCTCATATTCTCTAAGTAGCTGAGAATGATTTTAAGCTTGGGATGTATCTACCTCAACCCCAAAGCACAAGAATTGCAGATATTTTGTACATCTGGCTTATGTGGTGCTGGAGATAATCCAAGGCTTGATACATGCTAGGCAAGCACTGTACCATCTGAGCTACACCTCCAGCTCATCTTTAAAGTCATTTATTAGTTTTATTATGTATACATGTGTCAGTTTATGGGATTGATCACATGAGTGCACTTGCCTGTATAGGCCAGAAGACAGTATCAGATCTGTCCCAGAGCTTTAGTTACAGGTGGCTTTTAACTACATTGTGTGGGTTTTGGTACTAAACTGTAAGTTTAGTATTCTTAACTGCTGAGCCCTAACTTCAGCCTTCAAAATATTAATCTTTTATATTTAAACAAAGAGAGTTTTGCTTTGTTTTTGGTTTTTTGTTGTTGTTAACATGTGAATTTTCAGTAGATTTGGTATCTGCTGTGAAATTTTATTTTTCTTTTTTTTGATAAAGTCAGTATTGTGAAAGGTATGGATTTTTTTCTAGGCTTCTCTTTTGCACATAGTAGGTCATTTTCTTACTTCTCCCCCGTTTCCTGGAATAGCTCTTTGGGCTATTTACTTTTTTGTTTGCAAGTTGTATTTCTAGAAGTAGATTGGTGGATCCAAGTGTGTACATTTTAAGTGCTAATTCTTTGTCTAGCTTTGTATTTACTTTGAGACACATTCTTACTATGTTCCCTGGGCTGGCCTCAAACTCAGAATTCTCCTGCCTCAGTCTCTGAAGTAATGAATCCCAGTTGTATACTACACTGTTTTCATTTTATAGTTTTAGTTTTGATTCTTAAGTTGCTTATTGGTATGCTGGTGTGTGACCGCTCATTTCCCGGACGCAGTGTCACATCTGTAGTTCCTGTTGCCTCTTGAATCCTATTGGTTTAACTCTAGCTTGTGATTTTTCTGTCAGAAAAGGCATAAAACTAGTTTCCAATATAGAACTCTTATTTACTTTCAAGCAGGTCAAATACTTAAAACTGTGTATTTTTAAGTGATTACCAATACATTGTGAAATTTATACATTGAGTCCTGTGGTCTCTTTATGAAGTTCCTCTAAATTGGGGGTCTGACAGGTGCAGAGCCTGAGCCAGGGGTCATATGACTGGCTAATGTGTGCTTTAATTCTCAAATAACTCACTTCCTCCAAACATCCACTTTATGTATTTTCCAAACCCTGGCTGCTTTGGTTGCATACCTTCTATGTTTCATTTTTATTGCTTTGAAAGTTACAATACCTAGAAGCTGAAGCTAAAACACCCCAAACAATGATAATACTCTGAATGGAAAGGTACTTGTGTCTTGCCATCATCCAACTTGTTGGGATTTTGTTGCTTTTATACTACTTGTTCATAGACAATGCAGGGATAAAGGACTTGAAACCATTTTTTCTCTGTTTGGCACACTGGTAATTTCATTCAGATTGATGGGACAGTGGCAGAAGCTCAAAGCTTGATAGGGATTTTGGTATCAAATGGGTCACATTTATGAGATTGGCTCAGACTCTGCATTTGGCTTTGAGCAGAACCACAAAACAGCCCAGGATGACTGTCTGCTTCTAATTGGCCTGTCCAGACGTGCTGACTTTTTCACCACAGCCTGACTTCCTATTGTTAATGGGAGTGATGGGAGTTTTTACCTGTCTAAAATGTCCAAATGGCCTCAGGCAGGGTGTGGGCGATGACACATTGCTTTTTCTGTTGACCAGAGATTGATCCCATGCAGGTTTCTTTTTGTAGAGTTTCCCATCAGTTTCTTTCTTCTGAATTTAAGGGAGTAACCTTTCCTTAACAACTGCAGTCCTAACAAGGGCATGTGGGGGCCATGCAGTAAGAGGTATGCTGAGGAGGGCGCTGTGGTCATCATTGCACTGTTGTCCATGCTGGCCATTATGGGTGTTCCTTCAGGGCAGACCTCAGGAAAAGCTTTGTAAGTGAGCACCAGGTAAGAATCCTACTTGGTGTTTGGAATTTGAAGGTAACCTGGGAAGCAAGAGATTCAAGCCAGGCCACACTGACTAAGCCAATTCCTTTCTTAGTCTAGAGGGACATTTTCCCTCTCTGCCTCCAACAGACCTGCTATAGGACTGACTGATATCTGAAACAGCCAGCCTTTGAGGGTTGAGGATGTTGTAGTCTGAGGCTCTGAATCAGCCCAAGCAAACAAAAGAGGTTACTGCAAGGCAAGATTTAATGCAGGGCAGCATAAAAGAAGGAAGGAAGGAGAGGGTCTGATTGATCAACCCCCCCCAATGTCAGTGGAAGCAAGTATTTAAGCACAGAAACCACAAACATTTGTTGCCAAGTTACAGTTAATTTTCTACAGGTTTCATTAATTGACAGATAATGCAAGCTTTTCAGTCTAACCAATCAGATCTATTTGTTTCTTCCGTTGTTAAGAACAGCCATAATCATGTTTCTAGAGAACTATACTTGGCATAATGACCGTTTCTGTGGTTTAGGAATGAGGTGGCTCAGCTATTGAAAAGTTCCCAGCTCCCCTAGGGCTTAGGAACTTGAACTTTGTTTTACCCTTAAGTTAAAATGGAGTCTGAAGTCAAAATGGCAGTACCAAGGATAAAGTCCCAACCAGAACACTCCCCACCTGCAAACAGGGTTTCTCTGTGTAGCACTGGCTGACCTAGAGCTTACTCTGTAGACCAGGCCTGGCCTCAAACTCAAAGATAACTGCCTCTACTTCCTAAGTGCTAGGATTAAAGATGTATGCCACCACTGCCTGACAAACACTCTCTGTCTCTCTCTCTCTCTCTCTCTCTCTCTCTCTCTCTCTCTCTCTCTCTCTCTCTCTCCCTCCCTCCTTTTTCCCATTTTTCTCCCACTTCCTCTCCCCTTTTCCTCTCCCTCTCTTCTCTTCCTCATCAACTTGAAGATAGTGCCCAGAGCTCCTTGCATATTAAGCAAGAACTCTGCTGAGTCATACATACATGTACCACAGACCGAGAGGACTACATTTTGAGCACCTTTTAAAAACCCACAACTTGGGAGCATACTGGAAGACTCCTCATTCTGAGGGTCATTCCAAGGAACAGATATTGGTTAGCTTTCCAGGTCAGACCGTCCTTCATTTAACTTTACTTTTTGGTCTTTCAATACCAGTGGAATAACTTTGAATTGCATTTACAGGATAGTCTGTATATCATAGAGGAAGGTATGGAGTCTGTTCTGAGAAAACTGCTCCTGTAAGAATTTGCATGTAATTCTAGGCTTCCAGAGGCTTCTTGAGCCTAGCTGCCTAGTGTGGGTTGACTAGTTAGGTAAAGAGAGTGTAAGAATCACAGCGGGGCATCTCTGAGAGTGTCAGGGCTGCTGTTGGTCCAGTCTTGTGTAATTACCCACACTTGTTTATTTAAATATAAAAATGGATTTATTTCCCTAAGCTTTAAAAAAAAAAAAGTATCAGGAGAAGATATCAATTTGTCTTTAAGCTGCTTATCTCATTTATATCCAGGACATACACTAGCCAGGAAACGACATTGATTGGTGTTTCTCAACCTGTGGGTCATGACCTGTTTGGGGTTGCATATCAGATATTTATGTTATAAATCATAACAATAGCAAAATTATGGTTATGAGATAGCAATGAAATAATTTTACGGTTGGGAGGTCACCGCTGCATGAGGAACTGCATTAAAGGGTCACAGCATTAGGAAAATTAAGAACCACTGTCATAGAGCCTTCACAGAGTCACTTCTCTTTTATATAGACAACTTTTATATTAGATATTCTTTTCATAGGCTTGGTTATATTTGCAAGATGTAACTAGAAATAACTTTTGTAATCCTTAATTTAAAATTAGTTAATTAAGATTTTTCTTGAAAGTTATTATTCATTATTTAAAAGAATAAATTTTAGGATATTTCATTTGTATGTGCATTAGGAAAGACTTTTAAATGGTCAAAAATTATACTATAACTCTGAGAAATACTCCATTTTGATAAGACTTTAATCTCCAGGCTTTATATTTCCTATAGTTTGTTCATCACCCCCCCCCCCCCCACACACACACACTTTTTTTCATGCTGGGATAGAGCCCAGGACCACACACAGGACTGAAATGTACTCCATTACTGAGGTATACCCCCAATCTTTTTTCTTTCTTATTTTGAAACATAGTTTTAGTCTCACTAAGTTACTTTCGTGGGCCTTGATTGAGTTCATGATCTTTCTGCTTCAGTCTTCCAAGTAACTGGGACTACAGGCCTGTACTGTTGGATTTATTGTAATCATTTATTGTTTTAAATTAAATATTGTTTCCTCTAATTGACTCCATTTGTTCCCATTTTGATGGCCCTGAATACACCTCATTTCAGATTCTCAACAACATCCCTATTTCATACCCTTGAATTCCTCTCTAAATCCTAGCAGTCTTTTTCTTATCTCTCACCTTGAAATTTTCATTCTCATGGGAGGTTCCAGCAGCCATTTAGTCTCGTCTTAAATTTAAATTTTTCTGATTTTCAGGACATTTTCTTATTTCCCATTATTTCACCTGAGAAAGCTTTACGTGACCCCCAGGTATATAAGTACAAATGTGATCAAGCATTTACTGATAATAAATAGTAGAGAGATTTATTTTTAAATACATAATAATTTTAGCATTTATTAAAGATGATAGACAATCTGGATGCATTTGTATTTAAGAAGTTGGCATTGCATGGTGTGACAGTATGTGCATTAAGAAGCACATGTGTTGCATGTTTAAAACGAAAGCTATAGTGACATTGCACAATACGGCATCGGGGAGAGATGCCAGAAATACCTGATTCATTCTGCATTTGATTTTCACTTAATTTTTAATCATTGTTTAAA